TAAAGCGACATCATTTGGGCTCGACACACCGTGCGCATGGTTAGGTCGATCCCACGGTATAAATAGTGAAAAAAAATACAAAAAATGATCAATCTAAATAAATAAATAAATAGAAACAATAAAAAAGTACTCTATGGTGCTCTTGACTTGTGGAGTATGTGACAAGTACGAAAAACGTGCAAGCTTCCCAAAAGTCATTTGAAGAGATTTTATTTGTGTTTGTGATGATAGAGTCAGAGCCTTATGATGATATTGGGTTCTTGACTTATGGTTATGGCCTTATGGGGTCTCTTTATAACCAAGATAAAAAAATCAGCATAGTTTTATAAGCACGAAAATACAAAATAATTATGATAGGTAACTTATATGGATTTGCAGTCATGGAAGACTGAAGGGTCTCGTCTCCCTGCAGTCAGGGAGTATATGTATAAACTATAAAAGAACGTATTTGAATATTAAAAGAGTGTGTTGTATGGGTTTTAGAATGTTTTCACTTCGATATTATGTCTATTTCACTCTTGTTTAAGTCCGGTCTTACATTTTAAATTCGACCATTATACCATACCAAACGAGTTCATAATTAATTACGGAGTAATTTTATCAAAAGAATGAGCTGACCGTTAAGAGCCAGCCAATCCATTCTGAAAAACTGATTCTGCTTTTGCTTCTATTTTTAAAAAAGAAACAAAAACAGAAGCAAAATCAACTTCAAACACCCCTAAAGAAAAAATGCCATACTAATGCTGATATTCAATTTTTATTAATGGGGCAGCAATCTCAATCTCCAATATACAAACATGACCAACAAAAAACAGTTACTTGACCGAATGATTACATATATTTGACAAACAAACAGATATTTTAACAGAGGCAAACAAGAGGTCACTGTATTTAGTACTCCGTATTAGTGAAGGTATATAGATATGGATACAACAGAAGACGGTCAGCCAGCCAGGAGTTATTCATTCACAGAACCCTTCACAATGGTAACTGGGCAAGAAGAATTATTCACCACATAGTTACTGACGCTACCCATGATAGCCCTGCAATGGCAAAACATAAGAACATTCCAGTTATTTTTTTTTCCATGGCAGAATATTGGTGGAGTATTTGTTGTTGCTTCATGAACTTTATACTGACTGAATTTGTAATAGAAGCCAGATTGCTCTTAATGGATTGTTTTGTTCAAGAATAACAGTATCTGTATTTATCCAAATTGGTAATTTATATGTATGTATTGATGTAAAAAAAATAGGGAAACAACTACGAGTATGATTTTAATGTTTTTTTAGATTAATGAGATTACCACATTTCAAACACATATTTTGATGATCCACATATTTCTCTTGAACTATTTAATTATTTTCAATATTTATTGACACTTTCTGAGTTATCTAAGATATTTAATAAGGCTGTAACTCTGTAGTAGAGATCTCAAGGGTGTGTACTGTGTAGGGAGCAAACATTCCCTTGCCATTTTCACAAGAGGCTGATCTCAAGACTTAAACATGAGACTGAGAGGGCACATCAAAACACCTTAAACGATATGCTAAGGCTCCGTCTTAGTTATCTCAGATATTCGAGAGAAAGTTCACTACCCTTATATAGATATGCGGGACCTCAAAGGCTAAAAGTACAGAAATTTCAATGTATCGTTTCATCATTGGTTCTAACCTGCTCACACAAGATTTCAGAAAGCCTTCATGAAACTTATGCTCCTTTTGGAGGCCTCTTTTAGCTTAAACAAGCTTATTCGTATTCTACTCCAAAGCAGAATAAATACAATAAGCAGTTTATGAATTATTTGTTGTTTACTCGATGTGTCTCTCCTTGGAATGCAATTCATAAGGATTTTGTAAAACCTTCTTTGTTTTATTAGAGTTATTACCAGGATGGTATGATGATTGTTTCCTTAGATTATGGTAATCAGAAATATTATACTTCGTACTACTTGATGGAATGATGGGTCCCACCTAGTTTTTGAACAACACTCGGACAAACACAACAAACGTGTATTGAAGACACAACGTTCATTTGCTTTTTAATTTTTCTTCAAAACACAAAAAGAAAACACAGCTTATTTGTTTGCATTTAGCTGAAACCCAAACATAGTATTGTAACAAATGGTGGCTGCAAAGGTGAAAAACATGAAATCCCTTGTAATTTAAAGGAAATAAAACGTTCACAAACCTCTTGAGTGTGCCAAGTCCTCTATTCCCAACAACAAGACAGCTCAAATAAACTTTATCCACTGCTTCACATAGCTTCTCCCGGGCATCACCCCAAAATATCTTCATCACAACAACAATCTGTTTTTTTTTTATAGAAAACAATATATAGTCAAAATAGCTTCATGAGTATAAGAAGGTAGGAAATGGGAGACGAGAAAAAACCTCTTTCTGCCTGGCTGCAGTAGTCACAATGTCCAGTGTTTCTGCATCTGGACTGACTCCATATTTGTTCATAATATGACTATCCGTCAATTCCGCTATAGGAATCAGAGCTGAATATTTTTGTGCAGGAAAAAGATGAATTAGGAAAGACCTAAGATTCCAATTAGAGGGATGTGACGTGTGCCTATCATGATTTCATCACCTCAATCTAAAAAAACAGTATTACAAATTGCTATTTATTCAAAGTTCCAGTCATTTCACCAAAAACCATTTACCACACTAAAGCTAAGTGTCTAAAAGTAGTTAGTTTTATGATGAATCTGATGATATATCAGGGTTATGACAGAAAATCGTTACCTTTAACCTTTAATGGGAAAACCAATGAACTAATGAGAGATAAAAAAATTGGTAATCGCCCATTAGGATGTGATATTATGTATTGAGATTGGATAACCCAGACCACTAGATTTTGCACCAAAAACAAAAAACATAAACATAAACAAGCTGCTTTAAAAAGTGAATCATTAATTTACACAATTGTAAGCATTTTCAAGCATTGTCATCCTCAATGGGATAACATTAGGGTGAAACCTTAAATCTCTGATCTAAGAATCACAATAGAAAAGCAAACTGTAAAGATTATTCCAACAAGAAACACAATCAAATGCAAAACTAAAATAATGATGCTGATGTCATGATGACGACCTGAACCTTCCATTATTGGGCCGGAATACCTTAATTAATACTACGTAAACTAGTACGGAGTAAGTGATTTGCCGAATTTGAGCATCTAATCAGAAGCTGCCATCAGAAGCATCGTGTATTCCTTTATCAATTTCACAACGAAGACGTATGAATAAACAAAAACACTAGATGCATCGCCTAAATAGGTCCAAGAGAAAATACATATGAATCCAGGGAGACAAAAGAGGATATCATACGAGAACCGGTGGTTTCCCAGAGCTGCATCTCGCCTTCCTCGTAGTGGCCTTGAGGACGAACAGTGACGAGAACAAGGTGATCCCCTTTCCGGAGTAAATTCTCAACCGCCCATTTCAGAGCTTTTTTGCTGCACGCTGAAAAATCCACCGCCACTCCCACTACCCTTTCTCCGGCCATCTGTCTTTTTTCTCCTTCCTCCAGCTATTGTGATGATATCACCCAACCAAAAATTGTAGACGGAATGAAGGAATAATTCTGAATAAATGACAACGTGCAGGCCAAAGTCAAATGATGATGGAGAATAGCAAATGTCGGCTGCCAACACTTTTCCAAATTAATATACTCCGTAGAAAATGTTTGACGTTTTTGACCTGGTCACTCGGATCATCATCATCATCTTACGGTGCACATGTGGGTTTCTGTTTTTCATTTTTCAGTTTCTATTTTTATTTTTAAAATTTTTTATTTTCCAAAAAAAAATCATATTGCCAATTTGTCTTTATTTTCCATTTTTTACATTAAAAAATCACAGTTCACATGTTTCTTATGGCTGTATTGCTAATTTTGCTGATTTATGAAAAAAAATTATATTTAAAATATTTGTTGGTAATAAATAAAATTAAAAAAATATGAAAAATAGCTACAGTAACTTCAGTCAATACAGTCAGAAAAGTAACTTCAACTTTATTTTTTCTTATTATTTCACAATTCAAAGACATAATCAACATTCTAAACTTCCATTACGAAATAAAAATAGTTACCCTTAATCTATATAATTGCAACACTTTAATTTACTACTTAAATAATGCAGTTAACCCCAAAAATTTCCATTTTTGAAAGAAGTAATACATTGTGAAAATAACTTTTTATACTGAGTATAAAATTTGAAGTATTTAAGTTTGACTATTTTTATTCTTCCCTTTTAAAGTAGAACAAAGAAGACTTCCCTCGTAAGCAAAAGAGGAACAACCTTGCTATAAGTACCCCAATTGATACCTCAATTTGTACCTCAACCTATTTTTGTGGCTCACAAAACCTCACCTTAATGAATGAATTGTCCCACTTTAATGAGGTGCTTTTGTGAGCAACAAAAATAGGGTGGAGGTACAAATTGGGTACCTCCTATTGGTTCTAATGGGTGGTGACTACTGTTCACTTTAATTGTGTATGATTGCGTTCGCTTGGTCGAAATGGGTTGGCTAACAGTCGACGGTATGGGCTATTCACAGCATCATTCTTCGCCTATAAAAGCATATATGCACCGGCAGGTTTCTCAACCCCATTATCACGTGTATTCTGTATTACGTTTGTAAAATTTGCACCACACATCTGAATTTTTAGAGTAGCGAGAAGGGTTTAGCAGATGAAAGAATCTGCCACAAAAATTAGAAAATCGCTTTTGGCACAATTGCAGCCTCCACCGGTGATTGAGGATTTCCGGCAACACTGTCGGCACGGCAGCCAGAGAAGGTGGGTGCAATCACAAACAAATTCAATCGGGTACGACGACATTCACATATGTGCGAACTGCGAAGGGCGAGCTACCATAATCTGAAAGCTGAAGCGGATGCGGAGGGATTGAGGGAAGTACAGGAGATCTAATCATGCAAAATAAGGAGGAAACAACGGTCCTGTTCGGCTCTATCACTGTAAGTTGCAGGGGAGAACCTTAAGAGGACAACTCAGAACTCATGGTTGTGGCAGATTCGGATCTGCTTTCCCTGCGACGGTGAGTGTCCAGCAACGACGGCACAACATGTCTGACTACATCCTGTACTACAGAAAGGATGTTGATGACATTAAAGAAGAAAACTGAACAAATATGAAGAATGACAAGAGTCGAAGGATTATTCCGAAAATAAGGAGTAAACTCATAGGAAAGTTCTAACTGCGAAGTACTCTCAAATCCCTAATTAGATTGTTCATCGTCATTTTTTTCCTTGAATTTGTATTACTAGCAGATTCACAAATTCTACACCGACAGAGAGAAGCCTATCTCACCTGCAACAGAGCAACTCCAATGCAATCGACGGCCGGACTGGGTGTGTTACAGCGAACGTGATTTTCCGTTTTCTTAAGATGTCAACGGGTTGGGGCAAGTTTTTTGGTGTTCCGCCCAGTTTGGTGGACCGAACACGGCTCTTTGGACAACCCGGTATTCAATGTGCAGGGCTTTTGCATTGGACTGCACATGGATGATTTATGAACCATTTTAAAAATTGGATTCACTAAAATCATAATTGTGTCTTATAAACTACTCCGTGTAATATTCAAACACATAAAAATGTGCATTTGCTATTCTATGTCTTTTTTATATGCAAGTATTTTTATTTTTTATGACTGCCTAGAACATTGTACAGGAGGTTGTGTACAGGCTATTAAGTGAAAGGGCCAAAGCTCAGAATTTGTATGACATGAAAATCCTGAAAATCAAAGGAAATGGTTTATGGGTCCTTCAAGCTTAGTAACACGGATGAGGAAGGAAGTTAATGCAAAAGTTGCTTCCCTATTTTGGTTAGATTTTAGTTTTGAATTGTACAAATGTAACCAGCCTAGAAAAAAATATACAAATATAGGGATATCGGCTAGATTCATGATTTTAATTATGGGTGAACTTGAATTCATTACTTATTTTTATTATTACATAATTTAACGCGCAAAGAATAAAAGTGTTTATGAAAAAAATCTAGCATAGCGTATATAATATATATACACACACATAGCGTATATATGTATATATATATATACACACTCCAAACTTTATACGTAGCGTAAAAAGTTATGTTAACACTATGAACATATATATATATATATATTCACAAATGTAATTTTATGGTGTTTTTTTAAAGATAATTTTATGGTGTTGAGTACATATAATTTAAAATAAACAAACATTTATGAGGATTCAATTAAAATTAAATTGTACTAGATGTACTATTATTTATTTCACAAATGAAATTCTAAAACGTTAATCACATTCTAGCAAGGCTCAGAGTATTTTAAATTAGGTAAGTATTTCAATAAATTTGTATTTGTAAAAAATATACAGTCATGGTGGAAAAGAATGTTCATATAAAATTTGGGATATCTATATCACATATGCAAGTTTGGATATTTAAATTATTTTCTCACACCCAATTAAATTTTAGATATTTTTAAATTATTTTTCCTTTTTTAAAATTATATAATTAACACCAAAAAATTACATTTGTAAAAAATCTGTAAAAATGATGTTAACACAACTTTTTGTATTAGATTTGGAGTCAAATATTACATATGCAATTTTGAGCTATTTATATCATACATGTTCAATGTTTGGGATAGTTAAATTATTTTCCCTACTTTACATAGTATAAAGTAATTTTACATTTTTCTTTTATTCAAAGAAGAAATAATTTACAATTGTAGACACTACGTTACATATCTTACTATATCACAAAAAATAATTTCAAAAAATATTAAAATTTATTAAATAAAATTGCATATTAAAATAGCGCAACTATGTAGTTTTTATGTGATTTTCTCAAAATAATTTTCACAGGCTCTTTTTTAATAGTTTACCGGCACTTCAAGTGTAATGAAGATTTCTAAAGTCATACTCCGTATGATAATTAGAGATATTTTTTATGCGTGCAACACACGGTTGATATTCTAGTTTTAAAAAAGGAATGGATAAAACAAGTACTTTCGCTAAACGATCCCTTTACCGTTTACCATTTCAAGGTTTCAACTTTCAAACCCGTCACTTCAATTAATTTTTCTATCAATATGAAAATTATATTGGCGACAAAAAGGATTAAAATTAAGACCAGATTATACTCGATTACTCGGTAACTGTAATTAAGCATACATTTTCACTGCAATTAGCTAGACTGAAAGGCAGAATCAGGTTGCCACTCACTCTTTCTGAATGAAATGAAAGCGCTTTACCTGAGGGAGTTCATCAAACGCAGATTCGCTGCAATTAGCGGCGAACGTCTTGCGGAGTAAACATCGAAGCCATTTCGTCTTTTCTTCTCGTTTCTGAATCTTCTCGAGCATTGGAATCCATGGCATTTTGGTGGCCGCTCATCGTTCTCGCGTTCGCTTTCGCGATATGCCGGCTCCTCCTCATGCTCATTCCTCCAAACGTTCCCTCCATCTCCGTTGACACATCCGACGGTCTCTCTCTCTCTACCTCATAGTTAGTAATAATGCGTGCGAGTTGTTCAAGGAAATGCTAGCTCGTCTGTTTATTTATTTATTTAGTTATTTATTGTGCGCCGTGAAATCTACGTAAGTACTCGAGTGCTGTTTCATTTTGAAATCTCGTGTAATTATTGACTGCAGTGTTGGAAGACGGGAATCATACAAAGGAGAATGGCTTCATCTACGTAAGTACTCGAGTGCTGTATCAATTTGAAAATCTGCATCTATGTGAGTGAATTGAAATGATGTGCAATTAGAGTCCGATCATCTTTGTTCTATTTGCAATTTGATTTCTGATAGATGCTTTATCTCATTAAAGTGCTGCCCAGCAAGGTAGTAGAACTTTAGTTTTGTTAAAAATCATTATTGACTGGAGGAGTTACATCTAATTCTACTATGGTGATGATTAATTGAGACAGTTAGTTGATATGGGATAGTATTTTATACTCCGTAGTTTATAGTAGTACTAGACTACTAGTATTGGGTTTTGGTCATTCAAGTTGAATAATGTCAGGAGACTTCAGACTACAGATGAGCCTCATTCATTGTTTCATTTCCTTTATGTTTTCTGTTTAGCTCTTCAGCACATTAGAATGGCTTGTTAATATATTCTGCATCAGCGATCGGGTGTTAATACTCCTGATCTCTCATTGTTTTCTATGCCTCAATGCTCTCCATATTCTTTATCCTTTATATGCAACTCAGTAATATTTAGAAGCAGAGTTACACCAAGAGATGTGTTCTCAGGCGTTAAATACCGTACTTGTGTAGATACCTTCAAGAAGACAAACTGACAAAGTCCAATGCTATGAGCCAGCAACTATGAAGTATCTAGGGTACTTTTCAGCATTCAAGCCTGATGAGGTTAGGAACTTTTGCTTATCCCTTACCCTATTTTTTTGTTTCTGATAAATCAGATTGCTGATATCATGTTCAGACTCTTCTCCTTGCTTGGAAACAATAATACTTCTTTAAATCTATCATTATATTTTCTTAGATTAGAGCGAATATTTTGTATAAAAATTTAAACCGGAACAGAAACAACAATGCCCTAATTGCTGAGTTCTATAAAGATGTTTTACTTGTGAAGTGTTTCACATGAGGGCAACTGATAACCGTGCTTTACTATTTGCTCAGGTTAAAGAACGTGTATCAGAGGCTCGGAAGGCTCAAAAGCTATGGTCAAAGAGCAGCTTTAAGCAAAGGAGACAGTTTTTGCGTATCCTGCTGAAGTATATACTCGAACATCAAGAGCTAATATGCAAGTAAGGAGAATCCTTACTGGCATTATTATTACCCTCTTTAAGAATGATTTCTCCCATGAGCATGATAATATGATCGAAATCTTGCTTTTTTAAAGAATATTTGAGAAGGAAGTCGTAATTGACAAATGATCTGTAAAAGTACTGGATAAAGATAAAGGAGCAAAATATTTGTAAACCCCAACTTGTTATTCACGGGAAAGACAGTAGTGAACTCAAGGAATTGTATTCTGTTAATTCCAGAGGTTGATAATTTGTACGCAGCATAATTTTTCTGAGGAAAAACATATACAAGTTTAAAGTTGAGTGGATCATTATTTGAGTTTGGGGCATGGTTAAGGTTTTGGCTATTTATATCAGAATTTCCTCACGTGATACTGGAAAGACAATGGTTGATGCTTCATTGGGAGAAATAATGACAACTTGTGAAAAAATCATCTGGCTTCTTTCAGAAGGTGAAAAATGGTTAAAGCCCGAGTACCGGTATGCTTGCTTCTATCTCCCATTATTCATAATTCAATTGTTTCCATTCTTTTAATACGCAGTATTTACAAAAAAATCTTTCCTTGAATATTCAACTCAATAAAGCACCCCTTTCAACCATTTACTCATTTAGAGTATTTTAGACCGCCAGCTGCCTCACAAACATTATTGTCATTCCAATATATTGCATGTGTTGAATTTGTTGAATGATCAAATCTTATTGCATCTGGAGTATTTTAGACCGTCTTGTTTCTAGTTTACACAACTACACACTTTATTGCATTTGTTGAATGATCAAATCTTAAAATATGATATGTTTATGACTTATTTATCTTACCTTTTTTCGTCTCTTTCAAATCTTTTGCCGAACTCGCGTCTCACATTATCCTTGAAAAATGAGCATTCTACTTTCCTATATGCTGCTAACTGATCCTCATTGAGTGTTGAACTTTGGTATAATATTGAAAAAATGACATGTATATTACTAGTAGAGTTTCTGCGGACAAAAATATGTCACTGTGCACGAGTATCTGGATAACAGTAACCATAGTGTATTTGAGAGTCACTGGTAGATGATGAATCACTTAGAACTAGTCACTGAATATGTCAATTTTTTGGTAAATTTTAAAGTAATTCATATTTTTGTCTTTTGAATTGAATTTAGTAATATTCATGGAAAAAGGCCTATAATATTTCAGGGATTCTGTTTAAAAATGGCATGCAGCAAATGCTCATAAGAGTTTTGAGTTCTGACATTATGATCCATATTTTTTCTATAACTACTACTCTACTAGTAGACTTTTCATTGCCAGCGATCATGTTTATCATTTACATCAAATTATGCTTGACAAGCAGGGTAAGTGGCATGTGAGCGTTTGTACTTTGTGTTTTGCAGCTCAACTGGAAGATCAATGCTTCACAAGAAGGCCAAAGTAGAGTTCCATCCACTTGGCGTTATTGGGGCCATTGTTTCATGGAATTATCCATTTCACAATATATTCAATCCAATGTTGGCTGCAGTCTTCTCAGGGAATGGCATTGTGATTAAGGTATTTCATCTATGAAGAATTTGCACTGATTTATTAAATTTGTTTCATAGGCAGTATTTTACTTGCACACATCAATACTGAATTCTCACTTCTGACAAAGACATCCCTTGATGGTTATCATAGGTCTCTGAACATGCTAGTTGGTCTGGATGCTTCTATTTACGAATTATACAAACTGCTCTTGCTGCTGTTGGGGCTCCTGAAAACTTGGTTGATATAATAACAGGGTACACATCCATTTGACTACCATGATAATTGATAAATATATTTTGTTGATCTATACCACTATATTTATTCAACTTTTCCTCTCAGTTTTGCTGAAACCGGAGAAGCACTAGTTTCTTCTGTTGACAAAGTAATATTTGTTGGATCACCTGGTGTTGGCAGATCGGTAGGTCCCTTTTTAGGCTAGATAAATTTTATTATGATCTACTTATATTTATTTATTTATTTATCCGGAGTTGTTTAATTTTAATATCCAAATCCACTTTACCCTTGTTTGGTTGGGGGGGGGGATAGGAGCTATAGACTCCTCCAGGATCCCCGTACACCCCCAATACAGGTTGTTTTATATTATTATTGGTATACATATGGATTATAATATCTTTATTTACAAAAAGCATTTATCAAATGCTTTCAATATATTTTCTAAAATAGAATTCCTCTTCCTAGATTTGACCGAAGTACCAAATATAACAATTTTTTTGAACTCGCCGTTTCTCCTCCTCTCCCTTCTCCCCAATTCTCTCCCCTTCCCTCATTTGAACCAACCAGTTGTGGAATTTTAAATGACTAAGTTCTATTTGCTAAGCTTTAAATTTTTAACATGCAGATTATGAGCAATGCAGCAAATACACTGGTCCCAGTTACACTGGAGCTTGGTGGAAAAGATGCATTTATTGTCTGTGAAGATGTTGATGTGCCTCATGTATGATCCAACTGTTTGATACACCTTTAAGACTTATTGGCTGTGTGATTTAACAATTCATTGCATAGATCCATTTGCTAGAAGATAATCTAAGACATAACTTAATGCAGGTCGCTCAAGTGGCTGCTAGGGCAGCTTTACAATCAAGCGGGCAGAACTGTGCTGGAGCAGAACGCTTTTATGTACACAAGAACATATATTCCACTTTTGTTGCGGAAGTAGTTAAAATTATCGAATCTGTTACTGCAGTAAGTTTGTTTCTCCAAAAGACCCGCCTTCTTTACTTCTTCAACAAAGTTTTTTTTTATTATTAAATTGCTTTAATAGAACTTATCTTTTTTGCTCTCTTCTTTTAAGAGGGTGGGTTAGTTTTGATTAATAAGAAAATACTGCAGGGTCCTCCTCTGATTGGTAAGTATGACATGGGAGCAATATGCATGCAAGAGCATTCTGAAAAGCTTCATAATCTAGTGAATGATGCCCTTGAAAAAGGAGCTGAAATTGCTGGAAGAGGAAGTGTTGGAAATATTGGTGAAGGTGCTGTTGACCAGTATTTCCCCCCGACCGTGGTTGTTAATGTGAACCATACCATGAAACTTATGCAGGAAGAGGTACTTACTTCGATGCCACATACTAAGCAATACCTCCCCCCCAAAGGGGTCATTTAAAACTTATCCATATAAACAAAGGAGTTTTTTTTCATTGAATTAGATAGTTTTTTTTCTTTCATATTTTCCATTGTATAGAAAATAATTTTTCTCAAAAAAGGTGTTTCAAGAAAGGCACTTGTGTTAAATTTAGTGGATAGAACAAATACACTAATATAAGCAGCATTGATAATTTACAACAGTTGTAGCTTACAAGGTTTAGAAACGTTACTTCTATGAAACAAGGTTTCATTTTTGTGACAGTACTATTTTAGAATAGTTGTTTGACATGACTATTTTTCTTTACAGGCTTTTGGACCAATCTTGCCAATAATGAAATTCAGCTCCGATGAAGAAGCGATTAAACTTGCAAATGATTCAAAGTATGGGCTAGGATGTGCAGTGTTTTCAGGAAGCCAGAGTCGTGCTAAACAAATAGCATCACAGATACACTGTGGAATGGCTGCTATCAATGACTTCGCTTCAACTTACATGTGTCAGGTTTAGTAGTTTTAGTGGACCTAAGTTTATTCTCATTGATGAGCTTCCACCTCTATACTTATATCTTCTCCATTGTATTATTGGCTATGTTTGGAACATAGAAAAGGATAGGCAAGGGGAAAACAAAGTTAAGGCATTTTTTTTAGTGTGGCAAATATTTGTCCTCCACTTTCCCACCAATGTTTGATTCATACCTTGACATTGTCTGGGTTCCAAATGGACCATTATTTTTTTTTTTTGGAAATGTGAAATTGTATTGTTTGCATTTTCGCTCACATGTTAACTAGCTGCTTTTGATTATTCAGTCATTACCATTTGGCGGTGTGAAAGATAGTGGGTTTGGGAGATTTGCTGGCATTGAAGGATTGCGGGCATGCTGTTTGGTCAAAGCAGTCGTGGAAGATCGATGGTGGCCTTTGATCAAAACCAAGATACCAAAACCTATTCAGGTGGGCCATAGACCTTTTAGGCTTTGTCGGTCTGAATTGGTGTCGTAATTGAATTAGATAAAATCACGTTTGGAATGATGGGAGTCCACTAAACTCCCCAAAATAACTAAAAGCACGTTTGGAAATGCTTATTCGGCACGGTCAAATATGCTGAGCTTTCTTAAAGGTGAAGCATTTGGTAAAATGCTGTGTAAGTCAGATAAGCCAAAAGGCCCAAAGCTACTTATTCTGCCTATTCCGAATTATTATTCCTAATGCTTATTTGGCACGGTCAAATATTCGGCATGGTCAAATATTCTGCCTATTCCGATTATTCTGCTGATAGGCAGAACAGGTAGAAAAGGCCACTTATGGCTTCCAAAAGGGCTACCAGACTTGGACATCATATCCCATTTCAGCCAAATAATCAAACCAAGAGCTACTTACTCTGCTTAATATTCTGCCAACGGACATAATAAGGGGAGAATAAGTCACTTTTTGCTCCCACTCTAAATTCTCTGATTTTTATTACTATGTATTATCTAAACTCGTGTACCATACCTATGTCTGGTTATGACCCGCTTTTCTGGGTGAGAACGACTGATAACTGTTGAAGAACCAGCATGATTCCAGTTACAATGAAATAGAGTTGGAACCCGTCGATTCCTGTCCCTTTTTTTCCGGGTTCGTAACTGTCTAGAACAGGCTCCAGAACCAGTGGTTAACCAGACTTGTTTCTTCTATTTTTGGGACTGAACCTGGCCTGTATCCACCTCTAATCATAGCTCATTTCCTGGAATATGCTAATACACATAAATTTAAACCAAAGCAAACGAGGTGTTTTAACTTTTGAATGTTTGAATATGGTATGTACCCAATACAAATTAACTCTACTGTTTTTGTATACACAGTATCCTGTTGCTGCCAATGGGTTTGAGTTCCAAGAGTCTCTCATTGGTGCTCTCTACGGCTTAAGCATTTGGGACCGATTGAGGGCATTGATAAAGGTTCTCAAGATGATTTCCGAACACAACTCTTCAACAACTGTGAAAAGAAAAAACGGTAGAAGCTCCAGATAGATTGTACATCTTTGACTTGTCTAACTTTGTAGTATTAAACTTTCTGTTTTTTTCCCAATAACATCCTAACTTTTTGTTGGACTGCCTTGTAATAACATCCTAATTACTCCTAGTATCTCTGCCTACTTTGCTAATGTAAAAAAGTCCATCATCAATGCGTTGCAATTCATTATGCAATAGTCCTCTACTGATGCCAACTCATAGGGTTGGAAACTTGGAATCTGCCTTGGTTTTGGCATTTTAGCGTATCTTAAAAACATCAAATCAGAAACTAGAATTGGTTGACTTTGATCCAGATTCCAGAATAGGAAGCCGGATAGGTATTTTATCTGGGCTAATTAAAGAAGACCGGAACTTTTACCTGGAACCAATTCAACCTAGGTTTTATTCCACATTTCCACACATTTGACTGGAACCTACTGGGTCTACAGTCTACACTAGTTTCTGTCCTATTTTGGAGGAACCCGCTTGGACTGGTTACAACTTACAACTAGTCATGGACTCGGGCCGGTTCGGGCCCGGGTCCGGCCGTTTTTTTTTTTTTTTTTTTTGGGAAGGAAGAACTGGAACCGGCCCGGGTAGGCAGCGGTTCCGGGTCGGGCCGGTTCCGGGCCGGGCTGGTCATGTTATTTTTTTTTAATTTTCTTTTGCTTTTCTAATTAACCCCCCCCCCCCCTCACCTCGACCCCCCAACCCCCCCAACCCCCCCAAAAAACTCAGACCAACCCGGGAGAAACCGAAAAAAATTGAAGGAAAAAAAAAAAGAAATAGGCGGGGCCGGTCCCGTTTAACTCCCGGTTCGGGTGGCCCGGACCTATCCTATGACCGGGTGCCGGGCCCAAACAGTACCGGTTCCGGGCCGGGCGGCCGGACCCAAGTCCATGACTACTTACAACTAGGGGTGGCCTCGGGTCGGGCCAACCGACCCAGAACCGGCCCGGACCGGTACTGTTTGTACCCGGCCCGGTCCGGGAACCGGTCTGGACACCGGTTTGGGCCTACCCGGCCCGGTAGTGCAGCGGTGCGGGCTCGGGCCTAGTAAATCATGAACCGGCCCGGGCCTCAACGGATCTTTTTTAAAAAAAAAAAACAAAATATTTTTTTAAAATAAAAACAGCCCTCCTAGCTGTTGGGAATAATCCCAAACGGCTCTATAGCCGTTGAGGGGGGAAAGGGGGGTCCGGGGGGGGGGGGGTTGGGGTTGGGGTGGCGGATACCAAAAAAATCCTATTTATACTCCTATTTCATCTACATTTTTAACACCATCTTCATACAATCCTACTCTCTAATTTTCTATTCTCTCATACTCAATAATCTCCATCTTCATCTTCTCCAAATCTCTCTACTCACACACACACACACACACACACACACAGATATATATATATTATTTATATAATTATTATATCTACTTATATATTAATTATACAATTATCTACTTATATACATATATTATATTACTAATATTTATTATCTACTTAATATATACTTATTATCTACTTATTATCTATACTTATTGTTATTTACTTATATATATTAAAGTATTATATATAAGTGTATTACTCATCTTATAGTAATATACTTATATATTATTAACTATAAACATTATATTATATATTAGTTATACAATTATCTACTTATATACATATATTATATTACTAATATTTATTATCTACTTTAATATTTATTATATACATCTCCATCTTTTTAATATTTACTTTGATATCTACTTATTATCTATATTTATTTTTGTTTACTTATATATATTAAAGTATTATATATAAGTGTATTACTCATCTTATAGTAATATACTTATATATTATATACTATAAAAATTATATTATATATTAGTTATACAATTATATTAGTTACACTTGAATTCATAGTAATTCAATTCATCGTATTAGTTAATTTTTACATTTCTCATTATCCTAATTTAGTTAATTAATAGTAGTCTCATTTTTCTATTAGTTAATTCATCGTTTTTTCTATGCATAGTAATTAAATTCATCGTATTGTTACATTTTTCATTTCGCTATTAGTTAATTTGTTAATTGTTGCATTTATCATAAAAGTATAAAACTAGTTAATTGTTACATTTTTCATTTCGCTATTAGTTAATTTGTTAATTGTTGCATTTATCATAAAAGTATAAAACTAGTTAATTGTTACATTTTTCATTTTATATTAGTTAATTTGTTAATTGTCGCATTTATCATAAAAGTATAAAGCTAGTTAATTGTTACATTTTTCATTAAAGTATAAAAGTAGTTAATTGTTACATTTTTTATTTCCCTATTAGTAAATTTGTTAATTGTTACATTTTTTATTAAAGTACAAAAGTAGTTAATTGTTATATTTTTCATTAAAGTATAAACTAGTTAATTGTTACATTTTTCATTAAAGTATAAACTAGTTAATTGCTACATTTTTCATTAAAGTATAAAAGTAGTTAATTGTTACGTTTTTTATTTCCCTATTAGTTAATTTGTTAATTGTTACATTTTTTATTAAAACATATAAAAGTAGTTAATTGTTACATTTTTCATTAAAGTATAAAACTAGTTAATTGTTACATTTTTTATTAAAGTATAAAACTAGTTAATTGTTATATTTTTCATTTCCCTATTATTTAATTTGTTAATTGTTGCATTTATCATAAAAGTAAAAAACTAGTTAATTGTTAATTATTGCATTAAAGTTTAAAACTAGTTAATTTTATTAGTAAGTGGATTCTTGGATATAATATAACTTGTTAATTTTAAAACTTGTTAATTATTATTACTATTGTACTCATATTAAAACATTTGATATAATATAATATTTGTTACATTTTAAAGATGGACCGTGGTAGACATTCCGTAGATATGGGTAATCTCCAACGCAACCGAAGGAAGGAGATTGCGACAAGTCATCCTAGTTTACGCAAAGGTAAAGGTAAAGGGCGGAAAATGAGATGGAGATTGAGAAGATTTTGAAACGGAGTACCATATGCGAGATGGAGATGCGATGTCCGACGAGCAACTACAACAACTATTGGCGCAAAATGATGATCGCCTTTTCCAACAACAAAACATCCTGGAGTCCATTGATGAAGAGGAGCTCGAGGATGATGATGCGGAGGAGAACAAGGGGGGCGACCGGACTCACGTCACCCCGGATGATGAGCAAGAGTTGGAGGACGAGGGCGGTTCATCCCAAATTTGGAAGAAATCTAAATCTCCTATTATAGAAAATAATTTTACAAAGAGAAAAGATAAAACAACCGATAAATGGTACGCAAGTTGCAATCATTGCAATAAGGAGTATAGCTTGGGAACTTTCGGCGGATACGGGAGCCTCAAAAGGCATCTTAAGTCCGCGCACTCTGTGGAGTATGCGAAAATAGACAAAGGCAAGGGGAAGCAAACTTAAATATCGAGGTTTGCAAATGACCAACCTTTTGGTAATTTCTCATACAATGATGCACGAAATTTGACTGGTATGGCTAACTTACTTGTTGAAGAAAATTTGTCTTATTTGTTTTCGAAAAGTCTTGCTTTTAAAGATTATGCACAAACTTGTTTAAATCCTCAATATAGAGGTTATCGTCGCAAAACGGTTAAGAAAGAAATTATAAGGCTTTATCGCGCGGAAAAGGATAGATTAATTTTTTTTTTTGCAAATTTTGATGGCCGTGTTACTATTTGTTCTGACATTTGGGAGGATACTTATCATAATTTACATTATTTGGGTCTGTCTGCACATTTTATTGATAATGTTTGGAATTTGTATAAACGTGTTCTTGCTTTTCGTGAATTTAATGATCGTCACACCGCTGAAAATATTTATATTTTGATTGAATGTATTTTAACTGAGTATAATTTGATTGATAAGGTGTTTGCTATAGGTTTTGATAATGCTACTAATAATACTGCTGCTATACTTAGATTGCGTGAATTGTGTGGTTCTAATACTTTGATGGGTAGTTTTTCTCATCAGCGATGTGCATGCCATATTATAAATTTATGTGTGCAAGACGGTATAAAAGCGTTAGGAGATGCTATGGAGGTAGTCAAGGGGGGATTAGACGTATTTGGGGCAATGGTCAACTTAAATTAAAATGGCAAAATTATTTGATTGAAACAGGTGTGAAATATGTTGCTTTTCCTAAAGATTTGTCTATTCGGTGTAATAGTACTTATAAATTAATTAAAGTTCTTCTTAGATATAAAGAACATTTTCCTGCTTTTTTAAGACAATATGAGATAACTATATTTTAAACTCCGCTCACATCGACACTTGTGAAAAAATTTGTAATGTTTTGATATATTTTAATAATGCAACTGATAGTTTTAGTCATGTTTATAAACTTACCTCAAACGAATTTATTCGTGAAGTTGTTAATCTCGCCGGCGCTTTAAATGAATTTGAGAATGCCGCTTACGTGAGTTATTTTTGTGGTTTTATGAAGGAAAAGGTTTTAAAATATTATGCACATATTCCGCATATTTATGGTATTGCATTTATTCTCGATCCTCGTTATCGACTTGGTAATTTTGAAGAATGTTTGAAGTTCTATTATAATGCTTTTTTTGGTCCATTTCCAATGTATGACGATAACGCCGTAGATCTGCAAGTTGAATACAACGAGGTTAGTAATTTATTTTATGCCTTATTTAATGAGTTTCATGCACAATACGGCAACGCGCCCCCTCCCCCGACACACACACACACATCTTCATCTAAAGGAAAATCACTTTTTAAATATGGTTTTGGCAATCTTATGAAAAAAACTAAAACAAGTCACACTACTGAACAAAGCGCACTTAATGAGATTTCTTTGTATATAAATTATGAGGTAGAATTTGACGAAAATGAGGAGTTTGACGTTCTAAAGTGGTGGAAGTCAAAAGAAAGAATGTTCCCGATTTTGGCACGGATGGCTAAGCAGGTGCTATCAATGCCGGTTTCAACAGTTGCCGTAGAACAAGAATTTAGTTCGGCCGGCAACGTTCTAACGGCATCTAGAACGAGTTTGAGCGCAAAGTCTCTTGAGATGCTTATATGCTACCACGATTGGTTGAAGGCCATACGAAGAACTCAAGAAATTGGCATCACCCCCTCCCAAGACTTTATGGATGAATCAACAACCGAGTGTGGTTCCTATGCCGGAGATTCCGATTGATTAGTATTTTACAATTTATTATAAAATGTATTTCATGTTTAA